CAACGAGTGCGCGGAGGACCGGGTTCGAACCTGCAATAAACGACCCTGCCGCTTGGCTTTGACTCTGGTGGTTTGTTTTCGGGGAGTCTCTCGAATTGGGGCATATCATTTGGGGGCTCGTCCGGGATCCCCCCAAGCCCACCAGACCCCAAGTCAACGGGTTGTCCCTGAGACCGATCGGTAAGTGAGCCGGCTCTGTCCGTTTCTGTTTGTCTGTTCGTTTCTGGCTCTTCCGCGCGAGATCTGTATCGGGGGCTGACACAGCCCTGGCGGACGCGCTATAGGGCAGTCAGTCGGGTCCAGTAGGAGACGTCCACTGGCACCTGTCTGGGGCACCTTTTTGGGCCCATCAGAATTCTTCTGTTCAGGTGACTGGCACCCATCTGGGGCACTTTTTTGGGCCCATCGGAATTCTTCTGTCCGGGTGACAGACACCCGAAATGCGCTAGCGATCTAAGTGTTGTGTTCTCTATTCTATAACCTTTAAGTGTTAAACCCCTTCTCTTTCGCAGGTGACCTGGCCTGGACCAGCCAGAAATCCTCATAACTTTACTGTTTCTCCTTTTAATCCTTTCCTCCACCTCCAGGATACAGATGGGCCTATCTCAAAGCACTCCCCTTTCTCTCCTCGTTGCTAACTTCAGGGATGTTAGAACCAGAGGACAGAATTTGAGTCTAGACATCCGGAGGGGAAAATTAATAACCCTCTGCCACTCCAAATGGCCAACCTTCGGCGTTGGATGGCCAACCGAAGGAACTTTTTGCCTCCCTATAATCGCTAAGGTGAAGTCAAAGATTTTTCTACCGGGTCGCGAGGGGCACCCGGATCAGATTCCCTACATTCTTGTATGGCGGAATTTAATGGAAAATCCACCCCCTTAGTTGGCCCCCTTCCTATCCTCGGGAACGTGTAAGGTCCTTGCCATACGGCCTGCAGATCCCCCAAAATCAAGGACGCCAGCCGCGCCCTTGTATCCCATATTGCCCAATAGTGAGGACCTACTATCCCTAAACCCTCCACCCTATCATCCCCCTCCCCTCGTACCCCAGGCCTTGCCCGCAGCAGCCGCCCCACCAGTCGCCCCGCTAGTTGCCCCCCTAGGGGAGCCGGGAGGACGGGAAGCAGCAGCTGCGCCAGAACCAGGAGGACAGAAGGCAGCAGCCGCGCAGGGCCCCATTGAAAATGAAACCAACCGCGAGAGGCCAGCCGTCCGAACCTGCGGATGCACCCAGCATGAGCCAAACCCTCGCCTCCCCGACTCCACTGTGGCCCTACCCCTGCAGGAAATAGGACCCCCAGATGAAACAGGCAACCCCCGACTCCAGTATTGGCCCTTTTCCACCAGTGACCTTTACAACTGGAAAACACAGAACGCTCGATTCTCTGATAACCCTAAAGACCTAATAGCTCTTTTAGACAGTGTCATGTTCACCCACCAGCCCACCTGGGACGACTGTCAGCAGCTCCTCTGCATCCTGTTCACTACAGAGGAGCGAGAGAGGATCCAATTAGAAGCAAGAAAGCTGGTTCCCGGAGACTACGGTCAGCCGACATCTAACCCTGACCTCATTAATGCGGCTCTCCCCCTAACCAGACCTCCACAGGACGAATGGGACTACAACACGGCAGAAGGTAGGGGAAGGCTACTCATTTATCGCCAGACTCTGATGGCGGGTCTCCGGGCTGCAGCTCGCAAGCCCACCAATTTGGCTAAGGAATATTCGGTCGTACAGGGAAAGGCAGAGAGTCCAGCTGCTTACTTAGAAAGATTAATGGAAGCCTTTAGGCAGTTTACCCCCATGGATCCAGAAGTCCCTGAGAACCAGGCTGCTGTCATTATGTCCTTTGTAAATTAAGCAGCTCCTGACATTAAAAAAAAACTCCAAAGGCTAGAGGATTTAGAAGGTAAACAGATCCAGGATCTGCTCCGTATAGCACAACGGGTCTACAACAACAGGGACGCCCCAGAAGAGAGACAGATCAAGGCGACAGAGAAAATGACTAAAGTCCTGGCCGTTATAGTCCAGAAAGAACAGCCACCCCCAGAAGGCACTCAAACAACACGCCCTCCCAGGCGGCACTTAGATAAAGATCAATGAGCCTGTTGTAAAGAAAAAGGCCATTGGATACGAGAATGCCCCAAGAAGAAACAACCCCGCCCCAGCCAAGGACAATGGCAGCCTAAAATAGCCCCCATACTGTTTACCCAAGATACAGAATAGGGAGGACGGGGTTCGGATCCCCTCCCCAAACCTAGGGTAACATTGCAAGTGGAGGGGACCCCAATCCAGTTCCTAGTTGATACTGGGGCACAGCACTCAGTTCTGGTCAAGCCCCATGGAAAAGTATCTGAAAAATCATCCTGGGTACAAGGGGCCACCGGAATAAAGAAGTACCCCTGGACAACTCAGAGGACTGTGGACTTAGGAAATGGGAAGGTAACCCACTCCTTCCTGGTCATTCCTGACAGCCCCTGCCCCTTGTTGGGGAGGGATTTGCTTACCAAAATGGGGGCCCAAATTCATTTCCAACCAGGGGGACCCACAGTGACTGACTTTCACAACCAACCCTTATCTGTACTCACTGTGAGACTGGAAGATGAATACAGGCTCCATCAGAAACCCACTCCTCTGGATCAGGGTATCGAGCCCTGGCTTCAACGCTTCCCAGACGCGTGGGCAGAAACGGGTGGTATGGGACTGGCAAAACATCGCCCAGCCCTATTTATAGAGGTCAAGCCCAGGACGGACCCCATCCACGTGCGCCAATACCCGATGCCCACGGAAGCCAAAAATGGCATCACACCGCATATCCGCCGCCTCCTTGACTTTGGGGTCCTACACACCTGCCACTCAGCATGGAATACCCCCCTGCTGCCCGTGCACAAACCCAACAGCGGGGAATACAGGCCAGTGCAGGACCTGAGAGAAGTCAATAAGCAGGTGATGGACATAAATCCAACCGTTCCTAACCCCTATACTCTCTTGAGCGCCCTCAGCCCAGATGGTATACTGTTCTGGATCTAAAAGATGCTTTTTTCAGCCTACCACTAGCGCCTAAAAGTCAAGAGCTATTTGCATTCAAGAGGACAGATCCAGACAGGGGCATAAATGGCCAACTCACTTGGACCAGACTGCCACAAGGATTCAAAAACTCTCCGACCCTGTTCGACGAGGCTCTACACGAAGATTGAAGTGAGTACAGACAACAACACCCTAATATAACTCTCCTACAATATGTTGATGATCTCTTAATAGCTGCCAAGACACCCGAAGCCTGCATCCAGGGAACCGAAGGTCTCCTGCGAACTCTGGGAACCTTAGGATACCGCGCCTCAGCAAAGAAGGCTCAGATCTGCAAGTCAGAGGTAACTTACCTGGGTTACTTACTGAGAGGGGGGCAACGCTGGCTAACGGATGCCCGGAAGGAGACTGTCCTTCGTATTCCCAGACCGCAGACACCACGAGAGGTGAGAGAATTCCTAGGGTCAGCTGGGTTCTGCAGACTATGGATGCCAGGGTTTGCTGAATTAGCAAAGCCTTTATACCAGGCAACAAAAGATCAACAGCCCTTTAGTTGGACGGAAGAAGCCGAACAGGCCTTCCAACAAATTAAAACTGCTCTGCTATCAGCACCTGCCCTGGGACTCCCCGATGTCTCCAAACCCTTCCACCTATATGTAGATGAAAACCGAGGCATAGCTAAGGTGGTGCTAACCCAGCATTTGGGCCCTTGGCACAGGCCAGTAGCCTATCTGTCTAAAAGCTAGATCCAGTGGCCGCCGGATGGCCACCCTGTCTCCGGATGATTGCAGCCACTGCCCTAATGGTAAAGGACGCTGATAAGCTGACCATGGGCCAAGAGCTACAAGTCACCACCCCGCATGCCATCGACGGCATCCTCAAGCAGCCGCCTGACCAATGGCTGAGCAATGCCCGACTCACTCATTACCAGGGACTGCTGTTGAACCCCCTCAGGGTCATCTTCACCCCCTCAACGGCCCTGAACCCAGTATCACTGCTGCCAGACCCGGACATGGGAACCCCACTTCATGACTGTGCCGACATACTGGCTCAAGTTTATGGGGTCCGGGAGGACTTGCAGGACCAACCATTATCGGATGCGGATGCCATCTGGTTCACCAATGGAAGCAGCTTCGTTCACCAGGGACAAAGGTATTCAGGGGCGGCCGTAACTTCAGAAACCGAGGTGGTTTGGGCAGAAGCCCTACCCCCCGGGACCTCGGCCCAGAAGGCTGAACTAATAGCCTTAACCCAGGCCCTAAATTTAGGAAGAGACCACAAGCTAACCGTGTACACTGATAGCCGATATGCCTTTGCCACTGCTCACGTACATGGGGCGATATACAGAGAACGGGGGCTCCTCACAGCTGAAGGGAAAGACATCAAAAATAAAGAAGAGATTCTAGCCCTGCTAGCAGCCTTATGGGAACCCAAAAAGCTAGCGATTGTGCATTGCCCAGGACACCAGAAGACAACCGACCCAGTTTCCCGGGGCAACAATTTGGCCGATCAGACTGTAAAAAACATAGCTCGGCCCCCAGCGCAATTATTGACCCTACAGCTGCCAGACCCTGGACCCCGGGAATTGCCCCCCAGCCCTGAGTATTCAGAAAGCGACATTCAATGGATGAGTAAACTTCCTATGACCCGAATCAAAGATGGCTGGTGGAGAGATTCCAAAAGCAGCATTATACTCCCAGATAAACTAGGATGGCAAGTTCTAGAGCAGATCCATTGCAGCACCCACTTAGGTTCCCGGCAAATGTTGGACTTACTGAGACAGACTGGACTAAAAATCAGAAATGTCTCTGATAAGGTCGATCAAGTAGTCACTAAATGTACAGTGTGCCAACTCAACAATGCGAGTAGCAATCCTCAGACAACAGGGGTAAGACGAAGAGGGAGCAGACCGGGGACCTATTGGGAAGTAGATTTCACTGAGGTAAAACCAGGAAAATATGGACATAAGTATTTGCTAGTTTTTGTAGATACCTTTTCAGGATGGACTGAAGCCTTTCCAACCAAGAATGAAATGGTGCAGATTGTAGCCAAAAAGATCCTAGAAGAAATCCTGCCCAGGTATGGTTTTCCAGTAATGATAGGGTCAGACAATGGACCTGCATTCATCTTTAAGGTAAGTCAGGGACTGGCTTCCATACTTGGGGCTGATTGGAAATTATATTGTGCATACCGACCCCAAAGTTCAGGACAGGTAGAGAGAATGAACAGAACATTAAAAGAGACCCTAACCAAATTGACCATGGAGACTGGTGCTAATTGGGTAGTCCTTCTCCCTTACGCTCTGTTCAGGGTGCATAACTCCCCATACAAACTGGGACTCACACCCTATGAAATAATGCATGGCAGACCACCCCCCCATCATCCCTAACCTAAAAGATGACCTTGTCAAAACTGAGAACGATAATGGTCTTGAACTCTTGCTCTCCCTACAAGCCTTGCAGAGGGTCCATGAAGATGTATGGCCCAAATTAAAAGAACTTTATGAAACTGGACCTCCGCCTATTCCTCATCAATTCCGACCCAGGGATTGGGTCCTCGTCAAACGTCATCGGCAGGAGACTCTGGAACCCAGGTGGAAAGGACCCTTCCAGGTCATCCTGACAACGCCTACGGCCATCAAAGTAGACGGAATCGCCTGGATCCATTACACCCACACCAAACCGGTGGACCCGTTCTCAGACCTCATTGGACCCTCAAAGACAACCTGGACTGTTGACTGGACTAAGGACAATCCTTTAAAATTGACCCTACGCCGCCAACGGACTGAGCCGTAACTATGGTACTTGCCCTCCTCTTGATTGTTCTGCAAATTCTGTCTGTAAATCCAAACCCCCACACCCCCTATAATTTGACATGGGAAATTACTAACTTAGAGACTCATGAAATCTACAACAAAACCCTAGGAACTGCCCCATTAAACACCTGGTGGCCAGATTTATATTTTAATTTAGAAAAAGTTAGTCCATTAGAAGAAATGGAAGGAGGTAAATGGAGGCAACTGCAAAGGAGGGTATCAATAAGTAGAAATGGATTTTATGCATGTCCGGGATTTAGGACGGGGGCGATGAGGCGCACATGTGGAGGGTTTGAAACCCTCTATTGTGCAGCCTGGAGTTGTGTCCCCAATGATGGGGAATGGAAGTGGGAAGTAAAACCCCAATTTATTGAAATGTCCTATGTCCAACCATGTACCTGCACCAGGTACAATGAAAACTGTAACCTTATTCGTGTAAGATTTACAGAGAAGGGGAAAAAGGACAGGCGGTGGGTCTCAGGACTCACTTGGGGACTCTACTTATATCAACGTCCCCTCTTTGGGACTGCCATTCAAATAAAATTAAAAGTCTCCCCTCTTGTACAACCAGTGGGGCCAAATCAGGTATTGAAAAAAAAAAAAAAAACAGATAAGCTTATCCCCGGGCAGATCTCCACTACTCCCTCCAGCAGGACCCCCATCCTTACCCCAGGAGTAAAAGCACAAGCTGTCCGAGAAAATCAGAACCAGAAGGCATAGACTCCCTATGGAAATTGCTAACAGCAGCGTATGAGGCCTTAAACCGATCGGACCCTGAGGCAACAAGGGCCTGCTGTCTATGTTATGATATAAAACCCCCCTTCTACGAAGCCATAGGTCTAGCTGCCCCTTTTTCACAATCAGGAGAAGAGTCGCCAGCAGCTTGCAAGTGGAATCGAAAGGGCCCCAGCCTCACACTGCAAGCGGTCACTGGCAATGGGACTTGTATAGGAAAGGTCCCCTCTAGCCATATCCAGCTCTGTGCCCTGACTAATTACTCTATAGATGAATCTAAATGGATAATTCCAGCTCCTGACAGTTCGTGGATTTGTTCTAAGACAGGGCTCACCCCATGTGTTAGCAGAAATGTTTTTAATTCGTCAACCGAATATTGTATCATGGTATTAGTATTTCCGAAGGTTATTTACCACCGAGAAAATGTTGTATATGATCTGTGGACAGAAGGGACAGAAGCAAGAGAGTCAATAAGAACAAAACGGGAACCCTTTACGGCCATAACCTTGGCCACCTTATTTGGCCTCGGTACCATAGGGGCAGGAACAGGGATCTCATCACTAGCCATCCAGCACCGGGGGTTCAATAGCCTAAGGGCAGCCATTGATGAGGATATAGCCAGACTTGAGGACTCAATCTCGCACCTCGAAAAATCTCTGACCTCCCTTTCTGAAGTGGTCCTACAGAACCGAAGGGGGCTAGATCTAGTCTTTCTCCAACAGGGAAGTTTGTGTGCAGCCTTAAGAGAAGAATGTTGTTTTTATGCTGACCATACCGGAGTAGTCCGAGAGTCCATGGCTAAAGTTAGAGAAGGCCTGGCCAAATGGAAGCGTGAACGAGAACAACAACAAGGCTGGTTTGAGTCTTGGTTCAGTCAGTCCCCATGGCTAGCCACCCTGCTTTCTGCTCTAGCTGGGCCCCTTATACTCCTCCTTCTCTTCCTCACCTTCGGGCCTTATATTATTAATAAACTAGTTGCCTTTATCAAAGACCGAGTTAACACGATCCAACTGATGGTCCTTAGGACCCAATACCAACCTATCATTACCGAAACATTTGAGTCAGACACATAAGATCCAAGATTGGCTCTTAAGGCATCAAAGAAAGGGGGGAATGAGAGACTAAGAGAAAAATTACCAGGCGTACTCACAACTGCAAAGAAAAGACCTCCCCGGCGCCGTTCCCAAAACCAGCCAGGGCGTGCCCGGTTGTGGTCTGACCTAAAGGCGGGAACCAATCAAGTTCTGCTGAGTGGTTTGAAAAAAAGGCAGGAACC